ATTAGGGTACGAGAATTTGCACAGCCAAATCAGTAGTAGATGTCGGAATTAGCTGGTCCACTCTCGAAGGAAGGCACAGCAATCCTTACTCATCATAGGCAGCTTAAACTTTAAACTTCACACATAGGCAACTACCTGGTGAGAGCATGAACTCTCATCTGCTATACTAGAAATAAATGCTTTCCATAACCCTCAATTTTTATACTCTTCAGACATATGCATTATAATGGTGGAATTTTCCTGGTTCAAACTGATCTTCGACATGAACTCTTATTTCTAATTTGACCACTTCATTACCTCTCCAGGTGTTATTTTTGCCTTGAAAGATAACAGGTAAGTCTGTAGGATAGAATATCAACTCACCTTCATAAGTCGCATATGTTTTTATCAAGACACTGCACTCTTCACTGATTTTGTCTTCAACAATCCTCTTACCCATCCCATAATCCCGCAATGCAGCTATTGAAAATTGCCGCATCTGTCTCCAGTTCTCACCATGAGCAAAAATAACACCTGGAGAGGTAAAGAAGAGGTCAAATTATAAATAAGAGTTCATGTCGAAGATCAGTTTGAACCAGGAAAATTCCACCATTATAATGCATATGTCTGAAGAGTATAAAAGTTGAGGGGTATGGAAAGCATTTATTTACTTCTAGCACAGCAAATGCAGTATTCATGCTCTCATCACGTGGTTGCCTAAGTGTGAAGTTTAAAGTTTAAGCTGCCTATCATGAGTAAGGATTGCAGTTCAGCATCTAAAAATACACCTAGTGTCTCTTGCATGGAGAAATAAGAGAAAATCCAATGGAACTCTGGGAGAACATTCCCCTGCTCCACTTCCTTCCTTAGACAGTGGACCAGCTAATTCCAACATTTACTACTGATGTGACTGTACAAATTCTCAGTACCCTAATTTGGGGCAAATGAAGACCCATAAATGCACGATACTAGGGTTTCCTGCACCCCAAATTTGCAAACAAGTAAAACAAACATGTTCAAGGATTGGATTCTTGGATTGGATTAGTACATCCAATCGAGACACACAGGGAGTTAGAGAGAGGGAAGGAGAGAGGTGGGGGGGACAGCTGCAAAGATCAAACACCACTAGTTGCTGTCATCTCATTAAGATAAGGCTCTCTTGGGCATTACTTTTAGTTTCATGGAAGAAATTTCAGTGCATGCACTGGTTTTTTATACTATTGTTTACTACCACTTATTACCATCATATTTTCATCATATTTCTGAGTGAGTTGTAGATAATATTGATTAAAGTTTTGCTAGGAGTGTCAATTGAAATCCAGAATAAACAACTTACCAAACCCCTTTGCATAGTCCTCAAAAATGGGGACAACAGCTCTCTCTGCAAATGCCTTTGCCTGGTTGACTAAAGCCTCTTTGACTGTCTCATAGCCAGTCAGCACCACCATTTCCTGGCATCCCATTTGAAGACGGAAAATGGGACCATATTCTTTTGACAACTGGAATTCAGCAGACGAAAAATGAATGACAGTTCTGATCAACAATTAGTCTCATGTAAGGAAAATTATGCTACAAATCATGTCTCAAAAATTCAAGGTTAAAGTAATTTCTTTCTTTCTTTTGTGGTATAAGTTATTATACTATTTTTAACAAGCATACAAATACTACTGTCCTTTGGATACTCATGACAGAATTTGGTCACATTTTGGAAATTTTAAAGAAGTTAGCTATGCAGGATGGTAACAATTTCTGATATATTAATTTCTTTATATATATATTTTTTTTTATGTTTTCATTCTATACAATCACATATTTA